CTGCGTTTTAATCAGCGATGGCCCAGGAGACGGCCCGGAGACAATCGTGGCATCACTCAGTGCGCCGCTGCTCACAGATCGGAATAGAGGTTCCAGGGTGCGTTCAGGTGGCCTGACACCGTGCGAGTTAATTTCTAGAAAAATTAAGCATCACTTGGAGATGAGCGGGGACGGGGGTGGTTTCCAGATGGTACAGGGACGGCCCCGGGTGTTGATCCTGCAGGAAACCTTTGCAGAGACTCACCGTGGCCTCTGAACGTTTGTCCAGAATCCCCACCCTCAGCAGAGGCAGGACAGAGGCTTGGAAAGCGAGAGCGGGCCCACATTTAAAAGCGTCTATTTGGTGCCGGAAGGAGGGGGACAGCTCGGGGAGGGCGGCGTGGGGCCGGGAGGGGAAGGGACCATCTAGTCCACACACGTTTCCTGAGCCAATTCCATGGGCCAAGCCAGATGCTGGGCCTCCAAGGTGGGGCCACATGTCCCTGACCTTGAGGCCTGACAAGCACAGGAGGGAGGAGTTCCCCCCTCCTCACCCCACTGGCGGGGAGGGAACCCCGCATTAAGCTGAGCGCATGGCACCAGTCCTGGGCGGGTGAGCTGGTCAGCAGTTTGCAGGTAACAGAAGCTCACAGCCTGGGGGAGGGAGACTCCACACGCCCTGTGAGCCCCCACAGAGGTTGCACTCGGGAGCAGAGGGAGAAACCAAGATCTGGGGGGGGGGCGGCTTTGTAGCAACAAGAGGGGGCGGTCACCCCAATTCCCATTGGAGGATGTAATTGAATGATTCTGCAGGTGGGAGAGAGGACAGATCCACAAGGTGGAGAACGGTAGGGGTGGGTGCAGCGAGTCTGGACAGCAGATGGGGGGACCTTCCCTGCTGGGGGAGGGGCATCTGGTGAGAGGCACTGAGCTCAGTTCAGCCTCTGGGGTCTTGGGAGGCTCCAAGGTCCAGGCCGCAGTTAATATTGCGTGTTCAGTTCGGGCCTTACCAGGGGGGGCGGTAGGGGGGCCGGGGGTGAGAGGCGGGGGCCATGGGCAGGAGGACTCCCCTCTGGGGGGTGAGGTGCTGGAGGCTTCACGGAGCGGGTGGCATTGAAGGTTGGCCATGAAGGATGAGCAGTGGTTGCAAAGTGCGAGAAAGGGCCCACGGTGTGGGGACTCGGTGAGTGTAGGGGAGGGGGAGGCAGCCAGAGGCAGGGCCTGGAAGGGGGTGCAGAGCCCACGGTGAGGAAAGAACCCGCGTGTGGAGAGGGGGTGGTGGCGAGGCGCTGGGAGTGGAGGAAGCGGAGGGCTGAGGCCAGGGGTGCCGCGCTGGGGGGAGGGGGTTCTCCGTGTGGAGAAGAAAACGCTTGGAAGGAAAACAGGAACCAGCAGGCCCAGGTTTCAGGACCAGCCAGACCAGGAAGGAATGTCACAGCGAAGGGGGAGGGGGTCCCCGGGTGTTGAGTGCCACTTGGACCTCAATGACCCCCAAATTGTGAGTCCAGGCCAGGATTCTCCCAGAATTCCAGGCTCAGATGCCCCGTCAGGTCTCCACCCACATTCACTGCCTGAGCGTCTGGGGTACCAGGCACCGTGTGAGGCCAGAGAAGCCCCCCCACCCCCCCGCTGGGCGCTCCCCTGCAGGGTTCCCGCTCCTTCGGGGCTGCGGTGATGCCTGGTGTGTCCCCACTGAAACCAGCACAGTTGCTCCTTCTCCTCAGACCAGCACCTCCTCCTGAAGCCTCAGGTGGGGCAGGGCCCGCGCTCCCCACGCTGGGACCCCAGGAGGCCTGTCACCGTGGGCTCTGCACCCCTTCCAGGCCCTGCCCTGCTCACTCACCTGGCCCGCCACACCCACCAGTCACTTTCTCCCTTTCTTCCAGGAAGGAGCCATCTCCCACCCCCGGAGGTGCAGCCATGGGACGGCGGGGGCTCTCCGGGCCCCCCGTGAGGGGCACCGACCGCGGACTCTGAGAGGCCAACGTGCTTGCCTTCCGGTGCCCTGTGTCCGTTTCCAGACTGAGCCCGTGTGCTTGCTGTGTAAGTAAAACGGAATCACACGCTGTTTCATGCTCTGCCGTTTCAGCAGCTGCTAACACCTCCCTGAAAACATTGTATTTAGTAACCAGTGGGCCTGTGTTTTGGTTTCGGGCTCTTCGCTCTCCCAGCCTCTATCATGCGCCAGCGATTTCTGTGCAAACACAACCACATCTTCGATATATTGTTGGCAGGCTTGGCAATCCCTTTGCCTTCTTTGCCTGGTGGTGATGGAGGCCCTACTTATCCCTGCTCCCCACCCCACCCCCGGAGTCTATAAATAGAGGGAGAGATACACACACAGAGAGAACTTTTAATGCTGCATAACTGCTCAGCTCAAAAAAACTGCAGCCCTAGCCAGTTTTGCTCAGTGAGTAAAGCGTTGGCCTGTGGATTGAAGGGCCCTGGGTTGGATTCCGGTCAAGGGCACATGCCCAGGTTTCAGGCTTGGTCCCTGGTAGCGGGTGTGCAGGAGGCAGCCGATCAATGAGTCTCTCTCATCATTGATGCTTCTATCTCTCTCCTCCCTTCCTCTCTGAAATCAGTATATATATATCTGCCAGCATATTTTCCCAGCCTCCAGGGTTCCCTTAGCCCCTGTGATGGCAGCCATCAGCTTTTAGGTTCCTGTATCAGTTATCTATTTTGTACCTCCTTCAAGGACCTATGAAGGGCAGGAGGGCCGACCCTGCCTATGCAATTGCTAACTGGAATGAATGGATGCTATTGAGTTTTGCCCTCCCATCAATGTCTCTCTCAGGACTCTTCCCGTTAGAATACAGACCACCTTTCAGGTATGTGTGTGTGTGTGGGGGGGAAGTGGTGATAAATGACTTTCCAGTAAATATTATCTATGCACACTGTGGGCACAGCACACTTCCCTACCCCCTTGACATTGAGCTTGACCTTGGGATTTGTTTTGACCAATGAAAAGTTCGCAGGCAGCAGAGGAGCAGTGGGTGGAAGTACACTTGTGTGAGTTGGCTTGCCCTCCTGCCCACCTGCCTTGCCCGATGACTAGGATGTGCCCTGGGTCACCCCCGGTCCAGTAAGGACGAGAGGACACAGAGCAGGTCCGACCCCACTCACACCTTGGAGCTGATTCGTGCTGAACAGAAACAGGATCCACCAAATCCCCACTGACCGACAAATGCGTGAGCAATCAATGCCTTTGTTGCATGCCACTGCGGTCTGCAGCTGGTGGTTAAGCGAGAAGAGTTGACTACTTCAGAAGGGCAGGCTTCCTTTCCTTCCACAACCTCCCTAGTTGTCCTTTTGAATATAAACGTGTCAGTGCTGGTCATCCCCGCCCCCCAAAGAAGAGTATGAACTTGGGGTAGCTTTGCCAGGAGTGAAGGTCTCATTCCACGGAGTCAGGCCCATTGTCTCAGGCTCCCCAGCAAACAGCCCCTATTACTTATCAATATGGTTATAAATAGAGGGAAGCTAGCTCAGCTTCTCAAGCCAGTTGGTCGATCCAAGCTCCAGGCTGGGGCCTGGCCTCCTTAACATCGTGTGCTAACCAGCTGAACCTAACCCTAACCCTAACCCTAACCCTTACCCTTACCCACACACACCCGCTCAGGAAACCTGGCCTCCTGGGGCTCTGTCCAGCAGCCGAGGTGCTGAATCAAGACAGAGGCCCACCCTTGGGAACCCGGCCCCGAGGCGCTGTCCAACCGCAGAGGTGCTGAAAAGAGAGCAGGCCCCCTTAAGGTCTTGGACAGCGGAGCTCAAGGGTCCAGTACTCAGCTGCTCTTCCCCCCTGCCCCGACCACTGTGGTTTTACTTGCCAGTGTCGTCATCCAATCCAACCTCTGGCTCACCCCTTATCATAGCCCCAGGGGGGAAAATTGTTCAACCAGAGTCAAATCTCCAAATCACCCAGATCCTCAATTTTGGACTACCATGCTACAGAGCAGGGGATGGGTTTGCTGCCAGCCATTGCTAGGCAACTGGAAGCCTTCACACCTTCCTCATGCAGCTAAAGGGGCTGTGAAGAGCGAGGCAGCACCGTGGGGCTCGTTCCTACGGAGCAGCAGCGTGTAAAACTAGGGAATCAAACCGCAGGGTGAGGAGGGACTTGCCGCTTTCAAGACATTAGCGATGCTTCAGCCCACACTCTGGCTCGGAGCGAGCCACTCACAAATCCTTCTTATTGCAGAACATTTCAAATATTTATGGAGGGAGAGGCTATAATGAATATCCGTGGACCCATCACCAAGCTCCCAGAATTACCAACTCTTGGCGAATTCAGTTTTATTTTATCCCCCACCCGCTACCCCACCCCTGCCATCAGATTGTATTACAGCGAGTCCTCGGCGTCGTGGGTAAGTACTTCGGTAGGTATCTTCGAAAGGGAAGGACTCTTAACAAGCAGAGAAAACCCCCACAGCACTCTCATCACACTTTAAAGAAATTAACCTCCATTCCTTCAAAACATCCCACAGCCAGTGTGTGTAACCGTCTCCATATGTCACAATTTTTTTCACAGTTTTACTTCCATCAGGATCCAGATAAGTTCCAGACATTGTCACTGGTTGGGATGGTTCTTTGGTTTCTTTTACTCTATCAGTTTTCCTTGCCGAGGGGAGATTATTTGTGCTGTAGAGAGTCCCATGAGCTGAGTCACAGGCATCTGGTGCCATTCACCATGTTCCTCCATCCCCGATATTTCCTATTCGCTAGTAGTTTGATCACACAGCTTGGTCAGATTCAGGTTTGATGTGTTGGTAAAACTGCTTTCCATGTAGTCCTTATCAGTAGTCGCTAATGCTGGTCTCTCTCTCTCTCTCTCTCTCTCTCATTCTCATTCAAAGTTGGCAGCTCTTGATTGCTTATTAGGGATTGCCAATCCACCGAGTGGAAGGGGATATGTTCAGTACATGTCAGTGACAAAGGAGTCACGTCTGGTCTATATCAGGAGCTCTTAAGATGATGAAGGAGCGGGCAGGCACCCCGCGAGGGTGACACACCACTGTCTCTGAATGAGAGGTTTCTGATCCCTTTCTCCTGAAACCTAATCTAAACATGAAGATCAAGTAACAGAAAAGGCCTGGATCCCATCTGGAGAGACGCAGGACACAGGAGGGACGTAATGACGAGTCATCTCCACTCAGCCATGGAGAGGAGCGGTCACGTGTTCGCTGCGGGGGGGAGGAGGGCTGCTCTGGACGAACCAGCCGACCCACTTTCCAAGCCCGACTCGCCAAGATGCTCAGATTCCTGAGGGATTCATCCGATGACGAAGACCATCAATGTCCATCATTAACGTCACGGACTCCGAGCTGCAGGCGGTGGCGAGGGCGCCCCGGAATTAGCATCTCCGCACAGACCGCGCTGGGGCAGAAACGCGTAAACGCCAGTCGGTTGCCTCGGAGCTTTTTTCTTTTTTAATTAACTGGAGTAATTTTGCAATGACCCCCACAGCCTCGTATCTTCCACTGGAAAGCAGCTACGGATCGAATCCATCTTTTGATACTGTTTCCCTCGCTCTGGGGCTCACAGGCGCGGGCTCGGCCCCACGAGTGGCGGGGACTGGAGGCCGTGGGAAGGCGCACAGGACTCACAGACTTCACTCGCACTCAGCAGGCGGGATGAGTGTCAGGAGCATTCAGTCAGGCCCTACATTAGCTCCTGATTTACGGAGCCCGTCTGGCTGCGTGTCTGGGATGTGAGAGGCGGAAGGAGCGTCTGAAGGACTATCAAGAGCCTTTGAGGGCGATGGGTTTGAGCGGCTCACGTTCCCAGACGCCGAGAAAGGGAAGGCCAGGCCCCGTGCGTCTTCACTGTGCACGCAAAGCAAACTGAACCTCCAAAGGCAATGGATTCCGCAGGCCCCCACTCCACGGGGGACCGTGGGCTGTGCACACAGCTTCACAGCCACTGCCAGCCGCA